ACCTGAAAACAGCACGGCGACTTGTTGTGCTAGAAGGAGGAGCTCAAAATCTTCGCTGCCATAGACTTTTTCAGCTCGTGCTCCTTAGGCGAGGCCCTAGAATGTTGGGCGTAGAATGCTCTGTTCTGAAAGCATGTGGTGGCCAAGCCAACAGTTTGTGAGTTTTTTTCCTGAACAGGGTTTTCAGCCGAGTTGATCTTCGAGAAGGTTGTCATTATTGTTGATGTACCATATGGATGGATGTGGTGATGGTGCGGTATGTGGTATCTTACTATGGAGAATCTTGTGTGCGAATTGAGTTTTTTCGAGGTAGAGTTTTCAATATTTGGATTTAGAAATGTTTGAAAACGCAGGGTAGGCTTTGCGGGACCCCCGGCACCTGCGTGTGGGGTCACGAGGTCTTCTGTTTTTCAGCGCGGCTCAACATGTTTTCCGGACAACCGTTCTCTAGTTTAATAAATGGTACAGCACAAGTTCTCGGGCGCTCCCTCCCCCCTCTTTCAAGAACGTGCTGAGCTACAAATAGTGTCCGGGCTCACAAATTGGTAGGACTGTGGCACTGAAATTGCCAGTCTCCGTTCACAGCTCTCATCCATTTGGCTTGAATCACAGTAGAACATGTCGCAAATCATGCAAGGCATGTTCTGCTGCGAGGGCACGTGCTCGAACAGCTGCATTTTACCTAGGCACCTGCTGGCATAGCTGGCCAGAGCTTGGTGTCGGCTGCCTGGTGGGGTTTGTATGTGGTGCGAGACTCTTATGAATCCTAGTTCTTTGGAACCCCGAGGCCCAGACGTCGGGCACTTGGCTGTCAGCTGCTGTGAATTCCTTCGCTTTGTTTGTCTTTGGGATTGGGTTGGTGTGACCCCTCCCCAGCACCTCCCCCCCGCTTTTCGGGGTTACAATGAGAAATGGGCCCCCAAGCCGCCGCCGGGTTCGGCAGAGACAGGATTCCAATGATGCTCATGATGCTACATGATGCTCATGATGCCGCCTTCTCCGGGCTTGGGGGGCGGGCCGGGAGGACTCGCATGACTGTGTTCTGTTGCCTCCGACTTCCCAAAACTCGGACCAGGATTCGTTGCGGCGAGGACGGCCGGGGAGTTTGTAACAACTAGCTTTCATCGGGGCCGCCGAACCCCCCAACCCCACAGGCTGACCACCCAACCCTATCCCCCTCCCCCCCACCCGCAACCCCACCTCCACCCTCAAAGAAAAGGTATAAACAAGGCTTTAGCATCTCCACCCCTGATTTGGCCTCATCCGGCAGTGCTCCGGGTATTGCATCCCACGGGTTTGCAAAGGCTGCAGTCGTACACTGGGGGTCGTTTGCGAACGCCGATTTCTAGGGTGTCCCGTGGCTGGCATATGTGCTTTCCCTTCAGGTGCACCGAAGGCAAAAGCACGTGCGCCTGAGCCTGATCTGCTGTGAAACCATCGGGAACAACCGTTTTTGTGCTCGATGCCTGTTGCGCGGACAGCATTGTGCGTTTGAATGCAGTTGCAGAGGACGGTGAGAACATCCCGGCATGTCAACAGCTTGCGGGTAAACTAGCAGCAGGTTGTTGGCCAGTTTGTTTAACAAAAACTCACAGTTGGTCGAATTCGCAGGGCAACTTGCAAGGGAATCAGCGACTCGGCAAATCTCGGCAGGGAGGCCCTGCAAGGTCCTGCCGTGAAGGCCGATTTCCCGCACAGCGCAGCACATGCGCCACACACACCAGTGAGCTTGAGCAAGTCGCCCTCTGAAATGGCACCGCTGTACGCTGCGGGATGAGCACACTGTTAATCCCTCACAGCCACAGACGTCTTTTTTTCTCGAGCAGCCTCAGGTTGAGAGTAGAGATTCCTCCAAGCCCAAGCGAAGTGCTCCTTGACTGAGGCGGAGCAGCAGCTTGTCCGACAGGGCAGAGGCCTTTTGAAAATGCGTGCAGAGCTTGCAAAACAATGCAGTACACCAGCCGAAGACACGCAGGCCACCCTGAAACACATTTTCCAGACAGTGGACGTCAATGGACTTCCTGGCTCCTCTTGGACCATGTCGGGACTAGTCGATGCAGCATCAATGATGCAGATGACATCATCAGCTCCGGCATTGCCAGGCGACGGCCGCATCAACAAGCCTGATTCTGAGTGACGATGGGGGTACTGCTCTTTCCATTCCATTTCGTGCCATCGAACCAAGGGTTTAGGTTTGAGGGTCAGGTCTAAATTAGGTAAGACCCTCAGCCCCTTAGTCTCCGTCCACCGATTCCAAGAGGGGGAGGGGAGGTATAGCGTTTGTTCACGAGGGGGGGGGGGCCCGAATTGTGGGGTTCCTCGACATCTTGGTGAGTGTATATTGATTGGTGTCCTTTTGGGGATACTAGTAGCAAAACCACACTTCTGACATGCACTGACCACCACTCGAACCTGCTTGTGTTTCACACTGCAGGCGCGAGATGATTAAGTTCTGCCGCGCAAGCAGCCACCTCATGACGAAGATTGATGCCTTCTTCGTTTCCGGTTTGCCTTTGCCTGCAACCTTGTAGCTACCAGGCTTTTGCGAGTACTTTGTGCGAGTGCTGTAAACGTCCATTGCCGCACAGGTCCTGAGCTTGCCGCGTCGTTGGGCTTTCCCACAGGAGTGAAGCAGGACATCCAAGCTATGCAAGATTATGCAAAGTCTCCCGAAGTGAGCCGGTCTGGTCGGTCTTATCGGTCTTCTGCTAGGAGGGTGGCACCAGAGACCTGCTGGAAGCGAGGCTCAGTGACTCAGTGCCGTCCTTGCTAAGTGGCGTCCAGGTTTGGCGCGAGCCTGGAGTTTGCTTAGACAGGTTTCAGGCCATGGACCGGGATGATGACCGGGAAGTGACCTGGGAGGAGCTCTGTGGCTGAATAAGGCTGCAGGAAGTATGGTTCCAGAGTAGTTACAGTCGTGTGCGCAATCACATGAAAAAGCATAAAAGCATAGCATGACGCAGCATGTGTAGTTGCGTGGCCAATCGTGGCCAAACAAGGTTCTTTGATTTCTTCAGCGCCGAGATGGATCAAACTGCAAGGGAGTGCATCACCCCAGGTTCGCAACCCAAGGGTGTCTGTGTAAGTTGGCAGCCAGCTCTAGAATTCTCACTAGATGCTCAGGCGTGGTCCCGACGCAGACATCAGTTCACGAAGTTGGTGAGAACCGGTCGCAGCAATCAGAGAGGTGGAGCCGGATTTGGGTGATGTGGCACTCCACATGCTGCCAGTGCATACGTGAAGGCAGAACCTCAAGAACAACAGCATCAGCGGCATGCTAGCGGATGGCAAGAAGCTCAGAGCTGACACAGATCTCTTGACAGCTCTTGACTTGGACAACAACTCAGATTCAGGCAGCTCAAAAGCTCAAAGCTGGATGCGGGATCTTCGGGAGGTGCGAAGCGAGGCAACCAACATGCAACTCCTTGCCTCTACCATGGCACAGAACAAGCAGGTGAAAGCATGATCATGCGGCCACCGGCGCAAAAGCCTCAACAGAATGTCAAATTCAATTCAATCGTGGCCTGCCATGGGCAGGAGAGGAGGGTCGAAGCTTTGAAAGCTTTGCCTGGGCAGGATTTATTGTTAATGATTTGTCAAGCTGAGATGTCAACCTTGCAAGTCTCCGCGTGCTAGCTATGAGTAAGCACGCTGTTTCGATCTCTGCCCGTGCAGGAACCGCAAGAACCAAGTCCGTCGATGCCGTCGGTTGACAGTCTCAAGAGTTTGAACCAGGCATCTCAAATTGTGGAGTTGCTTGTCAATTTGTGGGTGCCCGGCTCAACAGCTACAGCTGTGCAGGAGTGGATCCAAGCGCAGGAAGAGGTGGCTCCGCCTATTTTTTACAGGTTGTCGCAGCTGTTAGGGGTGTGTGTGTGTGTGTGTGCGTGCGTGCCGAGTGTTCAAAACTTATGAGAGGCTTTTGAGAAGGAGTTCGAACAAATGCACAAGGCACTCAGCCCAAGAACTTCTTGCATGCAAAGGCCACAAACATGCAAGAGGATCTAGGACATGTGCCCTTGCCTATGTCAAGGAGTGGGAAGAAAGCCAGGAGAAGGCGAAAGATGATGAGGCATCCCCGCAGTTTGAACGCCTCGATTCGATAACGCCAGATTTCGTCCAGGCAGAAGCCAGACAAGCCATTATGGAAGCAGCCGAGAAGCTGCTGCAGGCTCGACTCTTCTTGCCAAGCCAGAGGATTGAAGGGTTTTGATGGAGAAGGGTGTGCGATGGTGTCCGAATCGTCCGAGTCCAGAGTCGTAAAGTGCTCGCAGTGCACCCTAGAAGCGCGAAACTCACCGTTCTAGCTCTCCGAACCATCGAACGAGTGGCACAGCTGGCATCCATGCAAACAAAACAACAAGCACTGATTCTTCAAACTTCTCCACCCTTACTGCTTCTGCAGTTGAATCCTTTGTGCAGCCCTTTTCGAGAGTCGCTTCAGCTGGGAGGACTTGTCAGACAACCCGTTCGAAGTCTCAGACTTGGATGTGGGATGCATTCTGCACCATTTCCCAACTTTGCGTCTCATTTGTTTTGACATTCTCAGTTGATCCCGCGGCCGTCCGAAGTCTCAGTGGTGGAGCAGGTGCGATGCGCGATGCTTCTCTTGAGATTCCACACGGCACTGACAGGACACATCAGGAAACCGAGAGATTGTAGAAAACCGCGCGAGCTCGGCTCAAGTCATGGCAGCTGAGAGCAGCAATGTCATGGGTAGCCGTGCCTTGAACACGCTGAGGTGTTGGACATGCTTTGCATTTACCATCATGTACCAGTTTGCCAATGCGTGCCGATACCGCACATCGATGCATTGACCAATTGTCGGCGCTTCATCGCTGGTATTGTAGAAATCCTAACTCGGTTTTGGCGATGAATGATGGCAAGATGAGTAAGGCACCTTTGCCGCAGCCCTAAGCCGAAGACCACTGTGCATGAGACATATGACATGTTCGCGACATTGTCTTCGGCCAGGTGCACTAAGGATGCAGGCAGCGAAGATGCTCAGGCATTACGCAAACTGGCAGTGCGATGATTCACTTGTAGCAGTACTAGGCTACAATCCGCCGTTTCAGGTGAAGCTATTCAGCTTCTTTGAGGAACTTGCTGAGCCCGTGCGAAAGTAGTGGCCACAGCATGGCTTGCAGCAGAACCGATGTTCTGTTATATTCCTTTTGTTCCGGCTGTCTTACACTTTGCTTTCATAGAGGTTGGCGCAGACGGCCTGGCGGTCTAGAGGAAAACTGGTGCACGATGTGAAGGCCAAAGCCCAGCAGACTATAACAGACTCTTCGGAAGACCTTCCCGCACCTGCCCTGCCATTCCCTTTCACCACAGGCGTATGTGCTTCTCTTCACCAGCATGGTTTGTTCCATGCCTGCTCGCGTGCTCTAGCCCCAGTGCGGCGTAGCCTTCCAACACCACTACTCAATACTCTGCTACAGCCACGCGTGCGACAGGTTCCGGGTGATTCAAAATCCAAAGCTGCATGCTCTACTGGCAGAGGAGGAGGAGGGATTCGGGACAAAGTGTACGCACAGAATCGAGATCATGCAGGGACGCGCTGTCGCTGTGGTATGGGGTCGGTAACTACCTGACAGTTGCAGGATCCACAGGCGCTAGCGGCTGTGGTGGCTGGAACTGGAGGCAACCCTACGGTTGTGCTTGACGATGCTCGACGCATCTGGCCACAAGCTTGACCGAGGGTCGAACCTCGCCTGTCGAACCTGCTTAACTAGTTCGGGTGTCCGGTGAGTTGTGATTCTTTTTTGTTGCTTACTTGTGACTGTTAGGGGTTCGTTCGTGCAACTTACTTCGTGGCGGCTTTTTTCTCGCTTAATGGACGAACCCCGTGGAAGGTGTTGAACGAACCTTGCTTAGTTGTAACCTCTCTTATGACCCATGAGATCTTCTGAGGTTTCGGGCCTGCCACCCACTATGTCTTTTCCTTTTCGGGATTAGGATTTGGCCTTGCCACCCGACATCTCCTGTCAGGTTTAGAGCTTGCCACCCGACCCTTTTCGGGTTTAGGGCTTGCCACCCAACACCACCCAACATCTCCTTTCAGGGCTTAGGGCTTGACATCTCCTTTCAGGGTGTGGGGCTTGCCACCCGACATCTCTTTCGAGGGTTTTCTCCTTGTAGGGCTTTGGGCATTCTCCTTTTTAGGGTTTGAGGGTTGAGGGCTTACCCAACATCTCCCTCTAGCGTTTGGGGCTGGCCGCCGACATCTCCGTTGAGAGTTTATGGCTGGCCACCCAAAATCTCTTTTAGGGTTTGGGGCTTGCCCCAAACCCTAGCAGAAGATGTTGGGGGGCGAGCCCTAACCCGAACAGGAAATGTTGGGTGGTACGCCCTAAGCTTGAAATCGTGACGTGGCGAGCCCTAACCCTAAAAGGAGATGTTGGGTGGCAAGCCCGAAGCCCCACAACGTGACATGGAGAGAAGACATGTTGGCCCATGAGCCCTAAACCCTAGAAGCCCCAAACCGCAAAAGGAGGGGATTTGGAAGTGCCCGTGAGGCATACGCGCATGATATACATGCATACATGCATGCATTCAACATCAAACAAGTATGCACAAGAGCATTTGAGGGTGCCTGACTCGTACTGCGCAGGATCCTGAAGTGCCCTTCCGGGTTCTAGAATTTTGTACTTTTTGTTCCAATGAACTTTATTATATCTTTCGCAGTTCCTGCCATGGGTCTACGTTCTCCAAGGCAGCACACCACGTCGTGCCCTGGCCCCCATCAAAGAAGCTCGAAAGTTCTTAGCCCTCAAAGAAGATGCCGAAAACCGAAAAAGAGCCACGATTTCAAGGCTCCAAAGCCGCATGTTTCGTGGCAGGGGCCATGATTCAATCCTCCGAAAGCCCAACAGTTACCAGCTACAAGTAAGCGAAACAAAGTTACAAAATGCAGGTGCGCTTTGCTTGGGCTCCGTGGGTGCTGTGTGGCTCTCGGTTAGCTCAGATAGACAGAGTGACTCTCATTCAATGCCGTGCAGATCGATGTTGACTCCACCCACTTACTATAGCAGCAGTCTGGTGTGCGTAGCTTGATGTCCGTCTTCTGGCATGTTAGAAGCCCTGGTTGATTCGAACCATCTTGATGTATGAGCCATGTCGTATCCGCATGTGAACAACTGACGAAAGGTGCATAAAGGTGCAAACACTTTGCAAAGCAGCTATGTGTTCGAAAAGCCGTTTCTCCCAGGTTTGCAGGCCGATGGTGTACCAAAGTTTAGAAAAGGCTGAGGGTTTATAGTTTCTGGTTCGGTGCTTTCTGGGCCGTTTGGCAGTTGTTGCGCGGTTGCTTGATGCAGCAGCTTGTCTGGCCCCTATGTTCCCTCTTCTCCTCATGATACAATGCAGCCTTCCGGCCTGTGTCCAGTCTCCGCAACTCATCGTTCATTCACAAGTTTCACAAGAAGAGTATGTCTCAGGATGGGCACGAAAAGTGTGAGAGGAGGATACAGAGCTTTTGCATCGTGCATCATAGTGCAAGAAGACGTCGAAGAAACATTCAAGGTGATTGGAGTTACTGTCGGCGCTGCAGTGGGACTATGCGTTGGAGCTGATCTACCCTCAGTTTGTGTTTTTTTGACTACGCGCGTGCAGATTTGACTTCCAAGGTTCCTGCGCTTTTTACCTTTGGCTTGTCGCTGCCATTGGGAGCTCTGTCGGGTGCATCAGACTGTTGAGTTTGGAATGCCGTGCTGGACGCTACACGAGATGCCTAAGCCCGTTTGCTCTGCAAGGTTAGGTGGATCTGGCGGACTTTTGGCTGGGGTGTGGTTCCCAGCCGCTGCAGAGCACAGCCTTTCAAGAAGTTGACTTCCAAGACAGCGCCGTGATGACCTTCAAAGCTGAAGGCTTTGACAGGAAGCTCTGCTGGGTTCGTTGCAAGCTTAGTGGTTTCAGTATGTTTCATTGCATGCTTTCGGCGTGGCCTGATTTGCAAGCATGCGGGCTTCATTGGTTCTTTGCAGGGCAACCTGAAGATTTCAACATGTGATTTCTGAGAGTCATTTCCAGAAAACAATTACGGTCGTTGTGCGACATGCCATTCCAGGAGCCTGAACCCTCGCACATTGCACGCACCGTGTCGCAGTTGCTGTCGCAACTGTGCCCACAAACCACACTCGCGCGAAGCTGACTGACATTGAGATGAAAGAAGGGTTTCATTGAAGTCGGTGGTGATATTGCATGCATGCTGCTGGTCAAGGCGACTCAATGCTCCTTTGCATCCTAGCTAGCCTGGTGATTCCATGCTCTGCGCTGGTACACCCCCAACCCACCCTGAAACCGAAGACAGCCTTCAGGCCTTCAGCCCCTAAACGATCTAAGCGTCAAGTGTGGAACAAGTACCGTGGAATTAAGGCTTAGCGGCTTCGCGCCGTGTTTCTATATCCAAGTCTTTGAAGCCGCACATTGGCCAATGCACTGGCCATGCATGAGGTTGGTGGTGCGACGAGCGGTCCGTGCCACAGAGCTGTGTTGCAGGGTGGGCTTGTCGGTGGCCTGGCGGCCTCTCTTGAAGATGCTGAGCAAAAAGGCACTTTCGTGGCTTACTTCCGATCCGAGCTGCGACCCAAGAAAGGATTCAACAACAGCTCTGGAATGGCTGGATGTTGTAGTAGCTTGCTAGTAGTGTTCCCAAGGATCAGGCTCGCAGCTGTCTTTGTCAGTGCCAAAGTCTATGACATCTACCATGTCATAGTCCGGTGCTCAGCGCAAGCCTTTGGCCCCATGGCTTTGCCAGTGCCGAGCCTTGGAATTATGTGGTAGCGTTTGTGGTTGGGTTGGGATTGTTGGGGTGCTCTTTCGGGAGCTGTAGTACACTGTGCTTTAGCATGTGTGGGCCGAGAAACTCCGATCATATGATGTGAAGTTGCGCATGAGTGCTTGTGACCCCACATTATATAATACGGGTGCAGACACATGCAGCTTCATATCCCCATCATTCGCCAAATTGAAGGATGAATGGCAAAGTCGGGCTGGGCTGGGCATATGTCGGGGCTCGCAAACCCACCCAACTCACGCACCCAACAGCCCCCATCCTGCCTCACCCTCAGCTGACACAGACAAATACAGAGACATCCCAGACTTGGCTTTTGCGGTCCGCGGGAGCAAATGCAAAAAAGTAGCGCGGAAAGGCCAGAACCACAAGCAGGACCACGACAAAAGCTTGCCAAACAGCGTGAGTTGGGGACGTCTGGGGGGATTTGTTTAAGGGATGCTGCGACGCCACTATGGGACTATTGTCTTCCAATTTTTCTTCTTTTGTGAAGTGAGCAGAGATGCCGTGACGCCGTGACGCCTGTCCGGGACTGCCTGGACTTCCCTTCTTATCTCCTCTCTTGTCTGTCCTGTTGTCGTCGGATCCGCGGATGTGACGTGGCCCCTTCTCCATTCTTGCCTCCCTTGCCTCCCGTGGCACGCCCCTTTCATATTTCTCCTCCAGGCTCGGTTGTTGTCTCCTTGGAACCAGGGGGACGGATCGGTGGACGTGCCCCCTTCTTGTTTCGCCCAAGCGCAAGCACAAGCACAAGCACAAGCACAAGCACAAGCACAAGCACAAGCACAAGCACAAGCACAAGCACAAGCACAAGCACAAGCACAAGCACACGCACACGCACAAGCACAAGCACAAGCACAAGCACAAGCACAAGCACAAGCACAGGCACCACACACACATGCATTCCAATGACCGCTTTGACCAACAAAGGCTTGCAGTGCCCTAGAAAACATGCTCACCAAGTCCACCAATATGATCCACGCGTCAGGTCGTGCGACCTACCAATGTCGTGAAGGCTGGATTCACAAGGAAGTTTCCATGAATCTGGCCCATAAAAGCACTGGCAGGCAGCAAATCGCAAAGTCCGCGATGGTGTGCATGCGTCTACCGCCTACACGCAGGAGAAGGCATGCTGCCAGCTAAAATATTTGACTTGCAGTGGGAAGCTCCTTGGTCAGGCGAGGGCGACTGCGGACTTTGTGAAGACTGCATCTGCAAATCGACATGTCCAGGCAAGATGCACCAGTCCATGGATTGCGCAGTTCAACCATGGCTTGTCACTTCAAAATTCGGAGACATGTGTGTAACATGTCCAGCCATATCAAGATATGTCAAGGTATCCGCAGCAGGTGCCGGCTTCGGAGCTGCTGCGATGGGCACTGCTGGGGCGGCAACAGGTGCCAGGACCCCCATCGAAGAGAGACGCGGGGTGTGGGCATGTTGAGACGTCTGAGCCAAGGCTTGCGTTGGGGGCACGGTGTGGGTCTTAGAGTGAGCATCTTCAGTCAGAGCGAGGCAAGGCGAAGTGTGAGGTGCTGCGCTGTTTGATTTTGAGGTAGGGGCTTTGGTCGGACTGGTGCCGGCAGTGTTCACCTTTGGTCTCTCCATTCCCATCGGTGCCCACTGCACGCTGAGTGCATGCTGAGTACAAATGTGCGATATCACGTGATTGTACATGATTGTATGCTTTTGCCCGCGACCAAAATCCAATAGCCTGGCAACAAACTTGGTGTGAGGTGCCGCTGTCGGTGGCTCGACCGGCCTTATGGTGGGCGGAGCCGTCGGAAGCTGAGACTTGCATCTTGGAGCATCTTGGAACCTGCCTGCGAGCCTTTTGGAAGCAACGCAACCGCCAGGCTGGCTGCAGCATGGGGTTTGCAGGCAGCTCGCAATGTGCACACCTTGCTGTGCCATCTTTGTGTTGCCCTCTATGCTGCTGGGCTCATCTGGGAAAAGGCATCCAGCACACCCCCTGTTCAATCATCCTAGAATGTCGGCACCCTTCGAATGGACGCCAGGCCAAATGTCCAGCCTCAAACGCACCCATCTCCTGCTCCTTAAGCTATGAGTAGCGCTCAAGTCAAGACTCTAAACCCTATGCCCAAACCGTCACACTCCAAAGTCCTGAGCTCAAGTTCTTAGAGTCCTGAGCTCAAGTTCTTGGAGTCTTTGCCCTGACCCGCAAACCATGTTACGGCGCTCGCGTTGAGCCGGGTGATTTTTGGGACGTTCGTTGCGTGCTTTGTGGTGGATGTTGTTTATGTAAGAGCCTTACTGTAAGTTTTAAGGGCTTGCTGCTTGGCGAGGCTTGTTTAGGCTTTGGCGTCTCGGTGTAGTTTCCAAATATGGTGCATGGACAAAAGGTGACAATTGGCTTAGACTTGTGAAGCTCAGGAGGGACGGCCTGCACAGCCTCAGCAGACCAAGCTTCGAGAAGAGAAGCCTGAAATCCGAAATCCCGAACGTTTTCAGGGAGTTTCTGCGACGAAGCGGACACAAATCCGAGCTGTCGACCGAGATCCCCTGTTGACACCCCATGAAACGCCGAAGTCACTTTGTTGGCCTTCACATCGCCAATCACCACCACCTTCACTTCGGCTCCTTGGTATGAAGGTTATGAAGGTTGTGAAGGTTATGAAGTTGCCAGAAGTTGCCCGAACTCGTCCAATTGGAACTGCGCTCAACGCTGCCAAGACTGTTTTTGGGGCTCGGGCAAGTTTGCAGGTGGAGGCAGCGTGGCCTTCCTGGCATACCGCCAGAGAGGCGGCTCTCCACGTCGCTGGCAATCTCAAATCGTTTTCAGGCTACGCAAGCTACGTTCAAGCTACGTTGGCGCCAGGCTTGCCCGCGGCGGTCTACAACTACCTGAAGCCACAACAGCTGCAGGCCTCAGATGGTTCCTATTCTGCCATTCGGGGCATGTTGTCTGTTGTGCTCTGCCATGTTCTGCCAGTGTGGAGGAGTGCGAGAGGGAGGTCAAGTGACGATGTGGCTGTGCCGTGAGAAGCGCAATCCACAGTGCTGTAGGATTCTCTACACACTGCGGTCCTACACTGCAGTTGCAGTAGAGGGCAGAGAGGAACCAGCGGATCCACAAAGGAGATATGATGGCTGTGATAATGGTTGTTTGCTAGTACACAACCCCTTTCACACAGTGGTTGCTGAGCCAATGTGTGTCTGCTGGAGCTTTCGAGCAACGATACATCGTTTCACTGCAGTTCGTGTACAAAGTAGTCCATCATGGGGGCGAGTTGCCCAACTGAGGCCAAAAAAGTGCTGTGCCCTGACGCGACCTTTCCGGGTTTTGCAGACAGATGCTGATAGAAACGACCTCGACAGGTCGCGTCCTTGTTGCAAGCAGACACGGAGTTGGCGGACTATGCAAGGGCTCTGCGCCTTCTGCACAAGCAGGTCTCAGTGGTGATGTGCTGTATTGAACTGTATTGCACCTTGCTGCACCGCGCAAGTTCCAACATCACATTTTCAGCCAACCGCTGATGATTGTTGATTTGCCTTCATGCAGTCCGCTCGCAACCTCGAACGCTTGAAATTCCACCTGCGAATGCAGATTCAGCCTTACTGCAGTTCAGAGGTGTAATTGAGTTTCAAGCTTGAAGCTGTGAAGAATGGCCTGCACCTCAAATGCTTGCCCCGACTGTAAGGATTGATGGGTTTGATGCTGATGTTCCGAGAACGCCTGAAAACCTGTTGAGGTGGGCCTGGCCGATTAGTCTTGAAAGCAAGTGGTGTCTCACGGATACCGTCCACGATGTTGAGGTCTGGTGAGGCGCTCAAGGCCAGCTTTGCATGGTCTGAAGAAGTTGAATTGCCCAGTCGATCGTCTTCAACGGCTGCTTAAACAAGCTTGTGAAGAGAACGACAGCGAGACAGGCGGCTCAACGTGCGTCACCCACGCTGCAGGCAGAAACTCCGCCCCAGCACCCTGGACAGCAGGATGGTGGACTTTCATACTGATTCATACTGGTATCCGTTTGTTCGGTTTGGGGGTCCTAGGGGGTCCTCGCATCGGCTGGTGACAGTGGCGGTCACATTACTGCCGCACTTTTTACTACATGTACTACTGATGTCGCTACTGCTGCGCCCGACTGCGCATGACTGCGCTCCTAGTTAGCGGAGCAGAGGCTGAAGACTTGAGGCTGGCAAAACTTATTTTCTTCAGCCTCGCCTGTTTAAAGCACCATGCCGCATGCCGCCATGCCTTGTCATGCCGCTGCCCCCGGGAATGCCTTGTCATGCCGCTTCCCGGGAGGAAGGCCTTCATGATTGCATGACCCCCTCGGCTCGGAGATGTCGGGTTGTCAGGGAGAGGGATGAGCGCCTGGTTCCAGCTTGTCGGAGCGTAGGCTGAAACGACTTGGATTATGAGCTTTCGTGCGGGGGGTCTTTGCCGGACAAAGGTATGAGGGCTGCCAGCAGATGCAGGCTCACGTCCTCACAGCTGAAATGTTTCTTAGTATTCTTAGTGTTTAGCAGGCTCTGACTTGCCAGGCCTTCCAGCACGATGTGCTGATTCGAGCACCGGCTGCAGCATGCGCAGGCATGGCTTCACGTGGACTCATACAGTTTCAAATTGCAGTCGTGGATGGGCCAAAGACACAGGAGCGACGCGAAGGCTAACAAAGCCTTAAGTATTTTGACTCACTCAGACATGTGCACGAAAAAGCCTGAAAGGTCAGTGCCTAACACAGCGCTTTCTTTCTGGGCCACACGTTCTCGTGTATGAAGCAATGTGAACGCAGTCTGATGAGAGATTCTGGGGATCAACCAGCGTACTGCCAAGTTCATGGCCTTTCATGTTTGCGGACCCAGATGCACTGATGATGAAGGCAGACCGCTTGCTTCTCAAGAAGCTCCTTCCGCTGCGGACCAAGTGAGTCTATCAGAGTTGCACTCTATCACGCCCTGCCTAGACTCCCATGGAGGTCAACGGCCACCCTGGTCAACTTGCATATTCCAGGCAGCGAGATCAACCGTAGCTGCCTTTGGATTCTTTCGCTACTGGCACTGCTTCCAGTTGTGGACCACGCTCAACATTCACAGCGGAGGACGTAGAGGCTGTGCAGGCTCCGGGTGTTCTGCTTGGTTCAGGGCTGTCTACGGCTGTCTAGGTGTACCTCAATCTCAGTACACCATATTCCTTATCAGTAGGGATTGATGGACTGGCCCAGGCGAAACTTACAAGTGGTTGATTCAGATTCAATAGCATATTGAGGGGCCTTTGGGAGAAGCTTTCGAAGCCTCACGCTTCCAAAGTTAAAACGAAGTCTAAAGGAGAAAGGTGCAGGAGTGAGTGAGTTTATGGCTTTAAGGGAGTTCTGCTGGTCAATGGCAAATCTAAGTCATCACAAAGCTGGCACTGAGGGCGTGCGTGGCACTGAGAGAGTGTCTGCGTGCGTGCGTGCGGGCGGGCGGGCGGGCGTGCGTGCGGGTTGGCGAGCGGGCGTGGGTGTGTGTGTGTGTGTGTGTGTGGGAACTCTGTATCCAAGAGTAGATCAAATTTTGAGCTGATCGATGGAATGGCCTATGTGACAGTGCAGGGGGCCCAAGGGCTACTGGATGGCTTGGGCCAACGAAGACCCATCCAGCAAGCTGTGGAAACGTACCTGCAGAGTTTTGTCGAAATGACAGCCTGATGTTTCACTCGCTGAGGAGACCGATGAGTGTACAGAAAAATGAGGGTGTGCTCATTCGATTTCTTGAAATGACAACCCCTTTGAGGGAAATGCCATATGTGTGTTTCGGCCAGTTATTCTGACAAAGCGCTGGTCGTGATGGGCATCTGCACAATGCCCCGCAGTGTTCACTTGATTCAGAGTGACACCCTTCAGATGTTCAGTGACCATTCCGAGTGCATCACCATCAAATGTCTAGTTCATTACTACTTGAGCCACCTGGCACCTGGCTCCACCATCTCTTGTTCAGGTACATCACCCTGACATTCGTTCATCTGTCTTTGCTGAATTTGATGTGTTCAACCACCAGTCCTTGAGCAGAACCATTTCTTGAGCAGACCCAGCAATCTGTTCAGAGACCTTTGAAGTGAGAGGGCAGTTGGTTCATGTTTTCACTGACTGCCTTGTTTAATGCTGAGATACACTGAGCAACACCCTGAAGATCCGCTGGGATCTTTGCTTGTTCAGTGACCAGCACCTGTTCAGTGACCAATACCTGTTCAGCGACCATTCCTTGTTCAGTGACTACCGAGTATTCAATATCGAAGGACTGCCTCGGTTCAATGCTGAGCTGTTCGATCTGTCATGAGTGAACACCGTCAAGATCCTGTGTGATCTGTTATTGCTCAGTGACCAACAGTTGTTCGTCATTTTTCTCCCTGAGCCATGCCGTAGTGATCTTCAAATGTTCAGTGACTAACAACTGTTCAGGGACCCGATCGAGCCTACGCTCAAGCTATCTTCTTCGGGAGGTTTCGGGGAGGTTTCAATAAAGGATTTCTGTTCTTGCTTTTCAGGAGTTCCAAGTAAAGGATCTTTGGGTTCTCTACTTTCTTCTCTTTGCTTCGTGTAATAGTGGGGTGCGTGCGCCAGTGTTGAGGCTGTGCCACGTCTCGTTATATTGTTCTTCTCTAGACGGGTCGCGTGCGCCGGCGCGGGGCCGTGCCACGCCCTGTCTCACGTTCGCCTTGTTTTCGCTGCCGCCTTCGACGTCTTTTGTTGTCTTTCTCTGTTTAAAATTGTTTCTCCCTTTCTTTTCGTTTTTGTTCTTCCCCCCCGTCACTCAACTTGCTAGTACCGATATGAGTAGTGACGTTGCTCGTGAGCAGAGTTGGGGGACGGGGGAGAGTCTTCGGCTTGTTCTTTCATTGAATGGGAGTTGGGGCGAGGGAAGGTTACCAAAGATGATCTTTCAGACAACCGGCATGACCGGATTTGTGTGTGTGGGAACTCTGTATCCAAGAGTAAATCAAATTTTGAGCTGATCGATGGAATGGCCTATGTGACAGTGCAGGGGGCCCAAGGGCTACTGGATGGCTTGGGCCAACGAAGACCCATCCAGCAAGCTGTGGAAACGTACCTGCAGAGTTTTTTCGAAATGACAGCCTGATGTTTCACTCGCTGAGGAGACCGATGAGTGTACAGAAAAATGAGGGTGTGCTCATTCGATTTCTTGAAATGACAACCCCTTTGAGGGAAATGCCATATGTGTGTGTGTGTGTGCTTTGAGGGTGTGTGGCACTGAGGGTGTGTGTGTGTGTGTGTCACTGAGTGTGTGTGTGTGTGTGTGTGACTGAGGGTGTGTTCTTGTGGGTTGTGTTCCTCCTTAGAAACCTGTTGATCAGCCAAGAAAGAAGCCACGAAGGTAGCAACTGCTTAGTGGCAACCTACGTGCTTCCAAGGCGTTACACGGTTTCAGCATGAGGATACTGACGTTGAGCCCATAACATAGAACCTTCAAGCATCATCCGCAAGTCGGCGAATAAGTAAGGTGGCAACTGCCGGCAACTGCTGCCAAAAAACCACTAAACAAGCAAACCCTTCGCCAGAATTTATGATAGGTTTTGTGCGGGTCATTGGCTGCGGCTAATCGGGAGCTCAAGCAGATACTAAAGGGGTGCCTAGCTTTGCTGCGCCACTGATGCACCATTTGATGCAAGTTGTAAGTTGTAAAAATGGTAAGCCAGGTGTAAGCATGTTGTGATCAAGTCGCACCGCTGCCCTGCGGCCTCTGTTGTATCAATGTATCAAGTCTTGACTTTCATTGTTACGCGGTGTCATGCAACCGTGCCAAGGGCGCCAAGATGGCACAAGAACCGTTCGGCTTGCTGGGCGATGTGTGAACATCTTACTGAACCTGCTTGCCAACTTCTTGAGTCGAGGCCTTTGGGAGCAGATTGCTGTATGAGCAGCTTCTTGCCAAGGCCTTCCTATGCTGCAGTTGGCAACTTGCCAAGCTTTTCACCAGGACGATTGCATGATATCGCATGGCTAAGTGAGGCTGCTATGATTCACGAGCTTGCAAGCTTTGTGCTTCTCCGCAGTTTACCTTTCCTTGATTGCAACATACACAGGCTCCAGAAGTTTATAAGTGGCTGTGTAGGCTCTTGCACCGGCCCACCCTTGGCCTCTTCTTCGTAATCAGTAGCTGTGCAGTCGCCAACGTCTCAGTATGCCTCACCGCGTGAGGCTGCTTGAGTTTCTCTTAGTTGCCAGCAGGAGCGGCATCTGCTGTGCTTCGAGCTGGTGGGCCAAGAACGTGGCTTCAACATGCTTCAAGCAGTATCTAAGTATCTGCAAGATCATATCTCGCCTGCTATCGGTCCCTGCTATCGGTCCCTGCTCGGTCCAATCTGCCTGACACGATAAGAATGCTTGATGCTTTTGCAGACTACCACGACATGCCCAGGTAGGCTCTGATACACTGCCTGGACGAAAGGCGCACAAGGCTGATTGGAGCAATCAGGACAGAGACCATGGCATTTGCTCCTTATGCCCGTGTAGAGTGCAGATCCCAAATCGTGGGTTTTGTTGCCCAGAATATCACAAGCGTGAGCACTGTTTTCTGCAAGCCTGGAGCGAGAGCGGCACAGATGTGGCGGGACGGACGGGAGCACCATCTCGAGCGGAGCGTGCAGGCCTTGTGCAAGCGCCGTGCGCAGCCGAAAACTTAAGCAGAAACCAGAACAGCCAAAGAGTAAGAGTGCCGCGGACGGTGGAAGGATGTGGCGGAGACGTCGATCAACAGAGCACACCGGCCTCGAGCGGAAGCTACGGAACCGACAAGAAAACATAGGAAACCCAAAGTGCCGCAGTGCCTCGTTTTGAAGACACTCTACCCAGCTGGACGGGAGGGAGGAACCGTGCGGGCCTGACACATGAAACAATCTGACATAGTTTCAGTCCAAGGCCAAGCCGTGGGTGTCTCTCCACACTTTTTCATTTTCTACACGCCGGCACACCTCTTCCATCCCTTTTCCCTTGAAAACTGAATTAATGGGGGGGCATACGAAGGCTACATCCAGCCCCTGGGCTAAGTGGGCAAGTTGGGTCTGAGGCCCTTAAGGCCTCGAGGTCCCCAATTCCCTTTACCATCCTTTACCTGGTCATCCCGAAGTATATGTTTCGACTTCTGTAATTGCGCATCTAAGATGCACGGGAGACTCAAGCCCCAGGATTCAAGTCTTGCCATTTCACTGGGATGCGGAAGGAGATGGTCATGCAGCGCTGTCTTGCCAGCAACATGCCATGTCATTGATTAACTCTTTTGTGAGAGATACAGAGTTTTCAGAACTGTCAGAGGATGCTTGTCGGAGTCTTCGACGGCCACGGTGAACAAGGCTCGGTCTGGCATAGTCTAAGATTCCTGGTGCTGTGTTAGTGCTGTGCTCGTGTTTTTAGCATCAGATCCGCTAATGACCAAGGGCATGAGATTTCAGCTTCCGTGTCCATGCTGTTCGCTCGTTTCGCGGACACCTTGGCCAAGCTGGCAGAGGCCGGTGCTGCAAGCCGAGATGCATGTTCAGCAGCACTGTTGTATCTCTGGCGTTGGGAGTGGTGAATCTGGCGGACCTGGCTCGTGTGTTGCTGGAGGATCAGACTGTGAATCCCGAAGCATCCGTGCCGCGCCACATGGTTCGCAACCTAGCCATGAAGGCAAGATAGGGCAAGACTCCGTCACTCTGCCAGCAGTTCACTCGTCAGAGTTCTCCAAGGCCCACTTGTTCGCCGTGGCGCAAGCCCGGCCTGTTTTTCTGGACCAGCACAAGGAGACAACAATTTCGGACATGAGTGCAGGCAAGATGGTCTGGAGCGTGGAGGGCTTGCCGAATGGTCAGGCGCAGGGCAACTGTCAATGTTGTACTCCATGTCTTCATGCAGAGCCATACCGAGCATACTTGGTCCCGTAGTTAGCGGTTGTGGTCGCCGAAGCTTAGTCTCGTCGTCGTCGTCGTCGTCGCCGCCGCCGCCGTCGTCGTCGTCGTCGTCGTCGTTGTCGTGGTCGTCGACATCGTCGTCGTCGTCGTCCTAGTCGTAGCTGTCGTAGTAGTCGCAATAGTCGTCGCAGCGGTAGTAGTCAGTAGCAGTAGAAGTAGCAACAGCCTTAGAAGTAGTAGCTTTAGCAGTAGTAGTAGTGGGAGTGGTAGGTTTGGTGCTGCTAGGTTGGGGCATGAGCAACTCGGAAGTAGTAGCGGTAGTAGTGGTATAGTAGTGGTATAGTAGTGGTATAGTAGTGGTATAGTAGTGGTATAGTAGTGGTATAGTAGTGGTATAGTAGCGGTATAGTAGTGGTATAGTAGTGGTATAGTAGTGGTATAGTAGTGGTATAGTAGTGGAAGTAGTGGTAGTGGTAGCAGTCGTCGTCGTAATCGTAGTAGTCGTAGTAGTCGTAGTGGTAGTCGTGGTAGTCGTGGTAGTCGTGGTAGTCGTGGTAGTCGTGGTGGTCGTGGTAGTCGTGGTAGTAGTGGTAGTAGTGGTAGTAGAGGTAGGAATAGTAGCAATAGCAGGCACCACGGCGACGTTGGCGTTGATCGACGCGGAGGCCAGCATTGGATGTGCTCGGCGATGTTCGGCGGCATTGGCTAAACGATTTCGACCAGGCTGGCGTGGTCATCTGCGCGTACGTGGGCGATTCGCGAATGGTCATTTGCCACAACCAGAAGGCCCAGGCTGTGTACAAGGGTGTTTGTTACGGCTGTTGGAGCTTGTTTGGCACGTAGTTCAGGTGCTGTTTGAAACTCTGGATCATGACATTGACCACACTGCTGCGTGCCGAAGCCTCATCTAGGGCCAATCTCAATCTCATACTCTTTGCACGGGGGGGTTTGCACCAGGCCGCATAGCCGCAGCTGGTGGCGAGGTGGTTGTGCCAGCTGGTTTGGTGTTCTGAGATAGCCACTGGCCCTGCCAGATGCGGCTAGGTGCGCCAGATGCTCGTCTCTGGCATAGATGCGCGACGTGTCTTCCTCAAAGGCCTAGACCTTTCAGCTTTGCTGCGCATGCGGGCTCTTTCGTCCTCAGCATTACTCACCCAGTTGCAAAGACCTCCAGGTGCTGATGTACCTGGTTTGGCTATGTCCCGAGCACTTGGAGATATGCAGGCAAGTTTTTGTTCAGTCACCGTCGCCGTCAAGTTTTGTGGCATGTGCAATCTTTGGTGGCTGGCAGGGGCTCGTGCAAAGTTCCCCAAAGCAGTCTAGCTGCCAACTCAACCCACTCCCTTAATCGATGACCAGACGATTCATCTTCATTTCATGCGTCAGGGTTGTTTGCAGTGAGTGTGAGCCAAACAGAACGGTATATAAGCATTAGGGCACGAGATGCCGCCATGGAGCTCAATAGCATTGGGAGATCCAACAAACTTTTGCAACTTGGAGAGACGTCAACGAGCCGGAGCCGCTTTCTTTGTTGCGAGGGACTTGGGGAGAGGGTGCTGCATGTGCTCACGCCTTAGCCAAGGCAGACTGCTTCTCCAGACGAGGCAGCAGAACCAAAGGCTTCAGGCAGGATGTGGCAGGATGTGGCAGGATTTGGGCAGGATTTGGGGCAGGATGCCCTTGGGGGCCCTTGCTCTGCTGACAGTCTGACAATTCCGCGCTCAGATGTTGGCACCATGCCATGCCATGCAGGTCACGTTCCTGAACGAAGCAGCGTGTCTCGTGTTGAGGCCCAGAACTCTTGAACACCACTCTCCAGCTGCATCCACTCCGAAATGTGCCCATGAATCCTCGAGGTTGGAAATTCATGGGTTTAGGGTTTAGTTAGCGCCTAGTTTGATGGGTTTAAACATGTATTTTGTTGGCTCTTTTAAGGGTTTGTTGTGCAACCTACACAAATTCCTCGTGAAACCTCAACTACGAGAAAAGGCCAGGCGTAGTATTAGAGTGTGCCAAATCTCATACACGCCCAGTATCGACTGTCATTAAGAACCAAGGCTCAGAACATGATCTCTGCCAGGGTGTTTTTTTCAATGTAAACCCTGTGTGAATGCAATTGCGAAAGGGATCAGAAGAGAGATTTGTAGATGGCGGAAGACACCGTACATGTAGATGACGGACCCAACCGGCGGCCGGGCCACGCTGCTGCCAAAGAAAAAACAGCGCGTAGCATTCGGCGCCAAAGGCAGCAAGATGCCGCGCAAAGGTTATGCGCAGCTTGCGCACGTGAAACGTCCATCCAGGGTCCTTAGCTGAGGCGAAACACAGAGGATCCTTAGCTGCTCGCGTCAAGCCAAAACAGTTGCCGTCTTCGCAAAGTTAATGACATGACACATGACACACCCCCCTTTTAAACACAAGAGAGAGGTCGGAGCTCGGAAAGCTCCCAGGGTAGCCTTGCGCCACACAAGACTCATTTTTTCTGCCTCGCCTCAAGACAGGTCTTTCACACCTCGAACAACCAGCAAAGAATCTGGTCATCAAACTTCTTTCTTCTGTCATCAGACGAGGCCACCCCAACCGCGACTGGAGTTCATCGACGCACGACCTCTCAGTGATGTTCTTTGGACGTGGAGCCACCGAACAGAGCCAAGAAACATGTCTCCAGTCAGCTTGCCTGTCGCCACACCATGGGCAACCCTCAGAGAAACCTGATTCATCACTCGGAATTTCGCCGGGGAAATCGCCGCCCCGGTGACCACCGCAATCTCGTGACTGGTCAGGTCGGCATAACGCAAGTACCGGATGCGTCTCTCATCGTACTGCACATTGGCGCATATCTTGCTGTCAAATCAGAACATCCTCAAGAGGCTGACAACTCCGTTTCGAGTTTAAAAAGGAACTCGGCCCAGAATAACATTCTGTCAGTTTGCATGTTGTTTGATATGCTCTAAGTACGAGACTCCTGACAATTGCCTGATGCAACCGCTAGTGAAATGACCAGAAGGCAGTCCCAACGTGTCCCAACAGGCCGACAGT